AACTACATTTTGCAACAATAGGACAGCGTTTGCTTCTGAAGGGCCCTCAAGGGGCAAATCTCCTTCTCGGCATTATGTGCACATGTGTGCCTTAATGAGCTTACAACTTTTCATTTATATTTAGACGTAGACCAACCATGCTGAAGGCAAAAGTGTTTACAGCTTCTCAAAATAGCTCCACTCAAAGGCGAAAGAGAGGGGCGAGACATGAAAGTTGTTTAAATGCGGCTAGCATCAACTCAAGGGCATTGTTGGGGTTGCGTTTGTTCCAACATACGAAAAGTGACTAAAGAAGTGGTCACGAAAATGCAGGGGGGAAAAAGAAAGACAATTTGAATTCCTTCCTACTTAATCAGATCTGGCCAAGAGCTGCGTAAACATTGGATTAACTGTTTTGGAAAGTTGCAAAAGAATTGGTGGGTGCAGGGGGATGGTCAACAATCTCACGTGCAATTTAATAGTGGCCCCATTCCTTTTGGACTGTTGAGTCATATAAGCCTCCGTTGGACATGAGGTGATGTCATCACTGTTAGATCCCAAGTCACATTTAGAGACTCACACTGTGCATTGCCGGACACAAATGTATGATTTATCTAAAAAAGGCATGCAAGATCAGATGGAAAATGCACACAAATACTCACACAAAACCTGTCTCCCACATGTGGGCCTGTCAATCCACTACCTAGTAGCTAAGTGACAGCAGGTATGTAGTTACATTGCATTAAACACATTCTCCATCGGCCAGATACATGTTTCATAGCACATCATTTAATGTTCGTCCCCAGTGAGGGATGCCTGTAAAACCAGCAGACTCACGCGTGCATCTGAAGCACGTTGAGCCGGAGGAGCGGTCAGAACGGGCATGCAGCGTTGAAACCCGACCAGCAGCGCGCACACACACACACGAGCCAGACACCAACTGGCCTTGTCACCACTCTACACAAGAAACACATGCTCGGAGTAACCAAAAAGTGTTTTGCCAAATTTTAGCTTTTTTGTTGATTGTTGTCAATTCAGTGCATTTGCAAGGTGGTCAAACCTCTGGTTACAACTTGTGAAGTTTTGCAGAAATGAGAAAAGAACATTTCTGGGGATATTTTTGAACCCCAACTGGAAGTTTGTTGGCATCAAATAGTTTCTGGGACACGGAGCGTTTATTTTTTTCTGTGTTCATCTTTCAGGACTTTGGCAAATGGTCACATCTTGATCTTTATGCATGAATGTGTAATGGGTGAGGAATGGACCCAGAAGCAGTACGACACAGCAGCAGTTTAAAAACAGCGTCTTAACTTTTCTCTAGACAAACCCACAGGAAAGGAGTCTTTGAGGGGGTGAGGGCAGCAAGCGCCACACTAGAATTCCTATTGAACCTATTGGTTTAGAAATTGCCAAACCCTAAGAAACATTGACGGTGTTTGGGACTGGTCAGGCAGCAACCTTAGCAGGGTCCATCGGGATTCCGCCTTGGGAAATGTATCCCAGGAATGATATTGTGGCAACGTGAAACTCTGACTTTGCGAACATAAAGTTCTCCAGTAGGCGCTGAAGCACGGACGGGACGTGGTGCACGTGTTCCTCTTTCTTCTGCAGAAGAGCAGAAGATGTTGACGAGGCAGGTCGAGCTTGGAGAAGATGGTGGTTCCTTACAGACCCAGAAGCAGAACGACGTCAACAGCCTTTAGTTTTCTCTTGGCAAACAACAAAGGTTGTAGAAAGATCAGTCAAAGAGAAAATGGGGGGAAAAGTCTGGCGTACAGCGGAGAACCCTCCGGCAGCCAGTGAGTGAGTGACTGGGGTTTGGGTACTGAAGGGGGCGAGCAGGGCGACAGGTGAGTGTAATTGGGCTGACGAGGTGGTGTGCAGGTGCACGGAATGAGCTGATTAGGTGGAGCGAGAGGTAGAAATGACGGGGTAGGAGTGATGGATTTGTACCCACGACAAAACCAGTAAATAGCTTTTATCACCACTTTTGTTAGGGAACAATAAAAATGCAATTCATCTTTCTGTGGCAGCTTGTAGCTGAGGCTCTCTGGGCGGCTTGTTATTGTCCAAACCCCAAAATATGAATAATACTGTCTTTTGATGAGAGGAGTTTTTTGCCGTCGTCGATGAACTGCATGATCTAATTTCACCAACCTTCGATATAAAAGAATAAAATCAGCGTTGGAAGTGTTTGACGTAAATTGGGAAAATGGAAGGGATTTGCTTTTGTACGGTCGAATCCTGTGGATGAATAAATGCTGTATCTCCGCAGTTGTCCCACACAGACCCCTGAGAGGGAGAATGCAGCAGAGCCAGCTCCACATTACATACCCATACCGGTGCGGAGGATACAGAGCAAATATTTACCTCGCATAGCTTTGCTTCGTCCAGTCTGCTTCAGCCCGTCTGCTGCTTGCCTCGCATTGAGCGAGCTGCGCGACGTTCATCAAATCCTTTCTGTAGACATTCACAGTCAGGAGATGTAGCCTGTGAACAAGAAACAAACAAACTGGACCCAACAGGTTCAAATGCACCACTACGAGCCCAACTACCCTCTCTCTCTCGCTCGCTGTCTTCCTCTTCCCCCCTCTTATCTGTTCTCCCTTTGGCGTCCTCTCCGGGCTCCTTCAGTCGCATGGCGGCCCGTCAGGCGGCAGGGAAGTAGTTCTAATTGACTAACGAGTTGCCTCTCTCTAGTTTTCTATTCTTTCTTTTTTCATACCTTTACAAAACCTCCACACGACATCTGCTTTTGGCACGAGAAGAAACAACAACAACAACAACAGCAAAAAAGAACCCGCACGAAAGTCAGTGTTTTCTTTTCTTCTTCTTTTCCTTTGCATGTAGGAGTGGGAAAGTGCTTTCCTCTTGGGGAAAATATGGCAATCGCTGTTTTCTTACTCCCCTCCCAAATAATTGGAGGGAACTTATTTTGTGGTTTTCTAGTCTATATTCGTACTACTACGATTTCCCTTTTTTAAATTTGATATCCACGTTTCATTGCCTGCATCGCACCCAAACCTGTAAGAGCCCCACGAAGATTGAGTATTTATGCATTCGCCTCTTCCTACATATACAGATAGTGTTTATTTATTCTGACTAGAATCAACCAAAAGGGTGGCATTTGTTTTCACTACGTTGAAGCCATTTCTAGTGAAACGGCAAAGATTAATTCAGTGGTTTGATTCCAACAAATAAAATAATCATAGTATATTCAAATGCAGATTTCTAGTGGCAGTGTAAATAAGGAGAGACGGCCCTGTGACTTTTCTATAGAGCCGCAAAGTCCCCCAAAATATTTTGAACCGAGCTCAACTCTTGCAACACAACGCAAAATATAATAAATCAACGTACATATTGATAAGGTTCCTGGCAGATATTTTTGCATTTCTATTCAACCTTTTATTTTGGCTCAGTTGCAGGTAAAGATTTGGCTAAACTAATATAATTAGAATTTAGATTTTTCTACAACTGAGCTGATGCAAACTTTTAATTAATTTCAGAGCGTGAAAATTATAGACGTATTCATTAAAAAATTCACACCATGTTTTCATCTAGAAAATTCTTAGTCCATATGTGTTGCCGTTAAACTATTCAAAAACCAGTCCTTTATCCTGTGCTTAAATAAGGGGAAAAGTCTGTAAACTGCATCAGTAATAAAAGTGACTTCAGTGCATCCTGTTTGTTTTAAGCAGGAGCACAAACTGTCCCTGTAAGTAGCTTTTATACCTACGAATCATTCTCCATCAGCCGTATACAGCTTTTGTGAAAAACTAGGGATAAAGAAGAGGTCTGCGTGCTCACTAGAGAGCCGCACACCCTGCCAGGCAACGTGTCCACGTTCGACCTGCAGAAACGAGAGGGAGAGAAAAGGAGCGATCAAAACTTCTGCAAAATGGAGAGAAGGACGATACGGAACAAGCGAGAGAAAAGAAGCAGAAAGTCCTGCAAGAATGCAAGAGGGCAAAAGACCGAGGGAGCGAGAGGAAGAGAGACACCCAGAGAAACTGAGAACAAGGGGGAGAGAGGGAGGGAGGGAGAGAGGGAGAGAGAGGGGAACGGAATGTGCTGACGCTGTGTTTCTTGTCTGAACTCCCCAAATTAATAATCAGCAGCGGTTTAGCCGAGCCGTGCCAGGAACAGGAGCCTAATGCCAAGCCAGGCCCTCCCTGCCCCCCCCCGATCCCCACAACCCCCCAGCCCCCAGCTCTCAGCTCCCAGCTCCCAGCGCTGCTTTGGGGCAGAATGGGAGGCGCTGGCTGTCTGGGCCGGGCCGAGCCTGGCACACTGCCACGGGGCTTTTGCTTGTTCAGGAGTTTTGATTAAATCCTTTATTGTGCTCCACTCACGCAAAGAGCTAAGGCGAAACACCGAGCAGGGCGGAGGGGAGGAGAGAAAGCGAGAGGGGAGTGAAGGAAAGGGAGGAAAAAAAAGAGAGGGAGGGAAATGGGATCCCTTTTTTTTTTTTCTCTTCCTTTCTCCTTTTCGCTTTCTCTCGGACTGAAAAGATGTTTGATTTGGTCTGTGGGGAGCTGCGAAGTAGATAAAGTTTTTGCTCGCCATCAGCAGTCCGTTTTTCTTCTCTCTCTTTTTTTATTTTTCACTCCTCAACACAAAGGCCTCTTTTCATTCTTTTGTTCCTTAAGCTTTCTAAATTGCTCTGGTTTTCTTCTATCTCATATCTGATCAGCTAGACTTCAAGCTACCGCAGCAAAACGTGTCACAAGCTTCAAGTGCGCTCCGCATTTTAGTCAGCTATTTATTTTATCTAAATACTATTAGAACACAATGCAACACAGAAGACTAACTGCTACTGGGCCGTACTTGGCGAAATGGATACGAAAACCCCCACTCCTCCCCATTTTGGTGTGTTCCTCCCAATTGTTTTAACACGTTCCAAACATTATAAACGCTCTATATCTCCAACTGCTCCGTTGACTGCCCTCGTCAGTGACCCCCCGTGGTCTTTCAGAGGCTTTGTGCCAGAAGTGAAACCGTTATTTCTGTTGTTGTTTCAGCTGTTTCTGCGCTGGAGCTGAGCGAGCAGTTCACGCCGCCGGAGACGGCTCCCCCGGCCCTCGCCGGCCTCATCCAGGCCCTGGAGAAGAGAGGTACGATCCACGCCGATCGGCCCGCGTGTTCGTCTGTCTCGCCTCCCCGTCCCTACGTCTATGTGCGACTCTCTCTCTCTCTCTCTCTCTCTCGCCGTGTGCCTCTCGCTCTCACGCCAGCATTAGACACGTAGACATGTGGATCCAGTCAGGCAGTCACACGGATCAGAAGTCCAGACTCAAAAGCACCTCCTCGGCCGGTGAGGGACTCTAGATGGATTTTCTACGTTGAAGTTTAACGTTCTCAGGGAGATTCCCTCGCGACTGTTATTAAGATGCACATTTATTTCTTGATTAATCTGTAATCATTTGATGTTCAATTTGTAAAAAAAACTCTCAGAGCCTAATAAAATGTCTTTAGTGACGGCAGCAAATCATCACAGTAGAAAAAAGGTGAATCAATTTGACCAATGGATGTAATTGAATAATCGTTTCTGTTCTTTGAAGATGTTAACTTTGCTTGTGTCCAAATACCATGTAATTCCTTTTACACCAAAATCAACGTACTAAACATGTTGTACAGAAAATGCTCATTTTACTTCACAAACGAGTTATAATATTATTTAATATAGTTCCAAGATATTTCTTCAGTCGTCTCGCCACCATTTGCTTTTATTAAAACAGTTTATCCTTGTGAGTAGCTTCTGTGAAAAGTGCTTTGCATTATGGGACAAAGTGCGCATCAGCAAACTAGTTTGTATGGTGCACGCACACTTTTCCAGTGTGGACAGACTTCATCCTCCAAAGCTGGTCAGAATTTCTTTTTATGGAAGTAAAGTCCCTTGTGCTAGGATTGCTAAGATTTCAATATTGATTACTTGCAGGATGACGGAAGGTCTGTCTTTGAGTGTAAATAATATAGTGCAGCACTAATATTGAATGACCTCCCACAGTTGGATGCACACACACACACACACACGCAATGACTGCATGGTGAGGTTTTCACAACTACCTGAGAGTCTGGCTTGTCTCAAGGAATTGCCTCCTAGACGCAAGCTGTCTAGACCCGGTGCTAAATGTTTTTTTGTTTTTTAAGCCTGAGACCCAAAAGAGAAATTAAGTCAGTGGGAGTTTAATTTTCTTTTTCTTCAGTTTTTCTTCAGGGATATTGTGAAATATTAACCTCTACAATGGAACAGTATTTTTATCAACGCTGTTTGGATTGGTATGTGCCAGTTCCCTCATTACTAAACTAGAAACATAGTTTACTTAATTCCATGATTTAGTTAAAATGTCTGGCCGTCAATAAATCGATCTCCCGCTTTGCACCATGAATAGAACGAGCATGCGCGTGCTTTGCTTTTATCTTGTTGCGTGTGCAAAATAATTGGTAAATGATCCCCTTCTCTGTGTTGATGGACTAAGACTGCTGTGAAAACAACACACACCTGATATTTGGTCTTGAGTATTTCCAAAACAAATATTGGCCTATGCGCTTTGTCACGTACAAGTTGTTACTTATAAACTGACATCGTCCAGACGGTAACAGGTCGGTTCGTCTCATTCAATGCTTTACGCGTCTTTTCCATTACAGTAGATTACTTAGTCCAAGTCAGGCAGCCAGGGAGTCATTAGGTAGCTTGGCTATTTTTGTATTTTCCTGCTTGCTTCGCTATATTCCGTCTTCAAGTACGGGACTAAATGTTTTTTGTCTTGTACAAACCTTTTATTCAACTGCTCTTTCTCAGGTCTGGACTGCAAGATATTGTACAGGACCAATGATTCCTCAGGTTCAGACAGCCCAGTATACAGCCTGAGCTCCGGTGAGTTCGTCACAGATCTACACCGCTTTAGTTATTTTCATGGTGTGTGTAATCATTTGTGTATGTGTTCACATTTCAGTGGCGTTGGACAACAATATTTGGCTCGTAGTATCTGATGGAAGACATATTGTTTATGTCAGATAACAACGTATTTTTACTTTTTCAATTTGTGTAAAATTGAGCAAATTAGAACCCTTCATTTGCATCTCTGCGTAGGCCTCCATAGTGCTCCTACTCTCTCCACACACAGTAGTGTTTCAGGTGGTTGCAATCTGCGACCTCCCCACCGGACGGCGTCAGATCTTACGTAGTAGATCGCTGGGCAGCGCGTTGCATTAAAGTGAATCGCAAAAAGATTTCACTGATATTTGCTGTGTGGGATGTGTACATGTGTGCATGCTCATCTTCAGCAATACTGTTCACATGTCTCACATGATTGATAGCAGCCGTGTGCTGCTGGTCCAGTGCGTCTCGCCTGCTTCATACAGCAAATACTGTACATTGGGAACAAATTGAAGCCAAACGAAGTTCGGTGGAACTTTTTCTCCAACCTAAAATTCTTTTGCATCGCTCTTTGGCCTCCAGAGAGTGAAGTGTGTCAGAAAGACGTGGGGTACCTCTCCGAGTGTGTGCTGAGCTACCTGAGAGACCTGCCGTCGCCCGTCATCCCTCCCTGTTTCTACGCTCCCCTTCAAACTGCTGTCGCACTGCAGCAGCAGGTCCTACAGCAGTCGGCAGGTAGGTTTCATCTCTTATTGGAGTCAAAATGCTTTCAAGCCCATTTTCTTTTGCTTTAGGAGCTGGTGCCTCCTTCACGTATCTCTGTACGGTCACGGCTTGTTAAAGACCAGAGCCAGAGATGTTTTTAAAAACAGTCAAATAGTCCGCTGCCGTTGAGTCTTTGATTGGTGATCGGTGTTGTTGGAAAATATCCTCTTTTAGGGTTTTATTGCTATATATATATAATTTGGACCAAAAGATAAAAATGCATTGACTATATGGACGTTTACGCTACCTATGAAGGACAATGAAAATAAAAGTAGGGGTTCAAATATCTCACACTATGTACAAATACCTAATCTAGCTTCATAATTATTGTTAAATATCTTGACCCGCCTGACATCAAGTCTTTACAGTAGTTTATCATCATTCGGTACAGACGGTGCAGTCGCTGGAAGCCATGGCAGGGAGGTGAGCCTGGTCCTCGAGAGCTCCCCTTCCGTCCCCCTCCATCACCGTCTCACGCTGCAGTACCTCCTCACGCACCTGGCCAAGGTCACTCACTTGCAGGCCAGCAATGGCCTGGATACGCACACGCTGGGGAAGATCTTTGGACCACTGCTGATACGAACCGGCCCCTCCACGCCTTGGTGGGTTTCAGTTCAATAATATTTTACACTGAGAAGTTGAAGAATCGAGCGCCGCGTCGGTTCTGTGAAGCAAAAGGCTACCGATGGCAAATCTAGAGTTTCAGTTGTGTGAAATTGAGTTTCAGCATTTTATTTCTAAACCTGATATTGATCGGTTATGTTCAGGTTGTCTGGGGATGATGAGTTGCCGGCCCTCGTAGTGGAAAGGCTTCTGATCGAGAGAACGACGGAGCAGGACCTCGCTCCCCCAGGTATGTTCCATCTATCGAGGCTGCATGTAACTTAGGGAGTGAATGTTTTGCAGGACTCCTTGGATTCATTCCATTAATACACACGGTTTTGAACGACTATCTTTTGTGTGTGTGTGTGTGTTACCAGTTCTTCCAGCAAAGCCAGTCAAGTCACAATTGGCACCTTTAGCCATGGCAGACACAAGCAGCCTGAACGATGCTGCCGAGTGGTACTGGGGAGAAATCTCAAGGTAAATTAGTAGCGGATGCCAATTTGCCGTAGATGCGTCACAGCTCCCGAAAGTTAATATTCCTTTATGCAGATTCACAATGGTGGGAATTTTGCAGTGAAGTTGTAGCTGATCACTGTTATTTTTTAGTGAATACTGGTTGTCGTGGTATTTGCAGAGAGGAGGTGAACGAGAAGCTGCGAGACACTCCAGACGGCACCTTCCTGGTCCGAGACGCCTCTAGTAGACTGGAGGGCGAGTACACGCTCACCCTCAGGTAAAGCAACATCGCCCACATCAGGTAGAACCACGAGGGAATCGACAGACCTCTGTAGAAAGTGAACACGTGCAGCCCCCGAGTCCTGCTGTTTTCTTCATGTCGCCGTGGCGCCTCTTGTCTCCCCCTGCAGGAAAGGGGGGAACAACAAGCTTATAAAGATTTACTACCGAGACGGGAGGTACGGCTTCTCTGAGCCGCTTACCTTCCTGTCCGTGGTGGAGCTCATCGATCACTATCGCCACGAGTCTCTGGCCCAGTACAACGGCAAACTGGACACCAAGCTTCTGTTCCCTGTCTCCAAGTACCAGCAGGTTGGTGGCCTTTTTTTTTCTCATCAAGATCGATTTGAGCTTCCTCTGATGTAGAAATTCTTGATCTTACTGTGATCATGAATAACACTAAGCAGGCCCTGCTTGGAATGGATTTCATTCATCAAAGTGGTGGTTTCGCTCTCCTCTGCTTGTTGCGTGCACTCAGTTGGTCAAGGAGAACAGCATAGAAGAGGTGGGAGAGCAGCTGAAGGTCTACCATGAGCAGTACCAGGAGAAGAGCCGCGAGTACGACTCCCTGTACGAGGAATACACTCGCACCTCACAGGTATACCAAGCGGTTACCAGAATACATTATGAACTGGCCAGCAGCAAGCGGTGAATTTTTTACAGTATCTGATACCTTTTAATATTACACCAGAGCTAGAGTTAGCATAATGGATATGTGTGATATCAGCAGCTGCTAACTAACTGAAATGCAATAAATGATCAAACGGAGGGTCACAGCCTGTTCCTCTGTGCTTGTTCTCTGCAGGAGCTGCAGATGAAGCGCACAGCCATCGAGGCCTTCAATGAGACCATCAAAATCTTTGAGGAGCAGTGTGAGACTCAGGAGCGCTACAGCAGAGAGTCTTTGGAGAAATTCCAACGCGAGGGCAACGAAAAGGAGATTCAAAAGTACATTTGAGTATACATAGATATATATATGCATGGGTTTTATTGATTTTCCCGGTTCATTTAAAGACAAAAGCAAGATAGCGTGAACACTGTTTGTTTTGAACCACGCGTTCATGGCCATTCTCTCCAATCAGAATCCAGAGCAACTCTGAGCGCTTGAAGTCTCGTGTGAAGGAGATCCACGACAGCAAGCGTAAGCTGGAGCAGGACCTGAGACAGCAGGTCTCAGATAACAGAGAGATCGACAAAAAGATGAACAGCCTCAAGCCAGATCTCATGCAGCTCCGCAAAATCCGAGACCAGTACTTTATGTAAGAATGGATTTTAAGATCTAGTCAGTTTCTGAAGTACATACACTTCTGTGCTTTAATTTCACTCGATGATATCTGCAACCTATTCTTGTTATTGTCATGTCTCGAGGGTGATGGGTAAAGCATCAGCATACAACCTGCCTTGTTGTGGCTTTGCAGATGGCTGACTCAGAAAGGGACAGGGCAGAAGAAGATCAATGAATGGCTGGGCATAAAGAACGATGCAGATGAGTAAGTGTTTGAGATGAAGTAGCAACTCCTTGCGCTGTGATCACTGGGTGCTGCAGTGTCTCCACCTGTAATTTAGGGCGGTGCCGGAGCTCAGTGTTGTGCTGTTACGACGCGCGATTGAGTATCCACTGCTTTTTTCCCGTGTTTCCAGCTCCTTCTCACTGGAGGAGGACGAAGGTTCACCCCACCATGATGAGAGTACGTGGTATGTGGGTGACATCAAACGCACCCAGGCTGAGGAGATGCTGAGAGGCAAATGCGACGGGACCTTCCTCATCCGTGAGAGCCAATCACAGAAGGGCTCCTACGCCTGTTCTGTAGTGTAAGTTTTATTACTGTTTTTTTTTCTTTTCCTATGTTGATCCATTTCTTTATCCACTTGCAGCTTGTGTAGGTTACAATTAGGGAAATCATCAAGACTAACAAATATTTTTTTAATGATCTAACCTAAAACCCCAACTCTTTTCTAATGAAAAAATAATGCTCGATCCAACAAGGAAATTGCTAAATCATTCTTTAAAACCATCCGTTACACCTGAGCGTCTCCTTCTAATGGCTGCTGTCAAAATGCACTGCATATATATGGACGATTGAATAACGTGAGGCCAATGTGGTCTAAAATGGCTCGCTGTCCTTCTGTCCAGTGTGGAGGGAGACGCCAAGCACTGTGTCATCTACAAGACGGCCACCGGTTATGGATTTGCCGAGCCCTACAACCTGTACTCGTCCCTCAAAGACCTGGTGCTCCACTACAAAAACGTCTCCTTGGTCCAACACAACGACCACCTGAATGTAAACCTGGCCTACCCGGTCATGGCCCCCTCTCAGAACCAGAACCAGCACCCCAGATGAATCGTTCACCAGCAGTGTCGGGACGCCAACCAGGGAGGGGAAGCACACTTTTCAGTCATTGCATTCGAGGGGGGAAAAAAAAGATCCTCTCAACAAAGCTTTTTCTTTTTCTGGCGAAGAGAAATGGACTCAACCGACTATTAAAAATTCATGCGTTTTTTGCTCGAGGCTGGAGCCGATTTCCCGCACCAGCTGCAGTCCAGCAAAGAGCACTCCTTGCTAACAGCACGGCTTTCAAATGAGCACACGACCACCGGTATGGAAGCACTGTACAGTTCGCCTGGCCGACGCCGTTTCGAGCGCCGCGTTAGCCAAAATTCACATGACAATACGTTTTATGATTCAGAAAAAGACTAAATGTGTTCAAAGAAGTCAAAAATAAGCACACCAGATGTTTTTCAAGATTGTGGAGAACGGAAGAGAAACCCTGACGTGGGATGAATTTACAGGAGGCACTTTTCGTTTTGTTTCCATTCGTTTTTGCCTCGACCGCGTGCTGACTGTCGACAGACAAAGGCCCGATCTGTCCTCCCCCTCAGAGCACCGCTCGCCGACCATCACGGGTGTTGTCACTGGAGCCGAAGGGGGTGAGGAGGGGAGGAGGGAAGTTGCTGGGGTGGATTTCTTTTCTTTCTTTCTTTTTTTTTTTATGGGTTTTAAAAAGATAGATGATTCATTTTCTAGCTTGCTGAAGTGCCATAGTAATAGCTTTGAATGACACCAGGCCTGTGCCACTGAAACAAGGGGGCACGACGGGGTGGAAGGAGGAAATAAACCGTTGTCGACATAGACAAAGCTACAGCTTTAAAAAAAAAAAAAACCTTTTTAAAAAAATCCACTCTTATGGTTCTATTTTTAATGAAATGACCTTCGTTTGCAACTGCTGTGACTCGTTGCTCCCTCCGTCTTTGGGCGTCGTTTGTAATTGACGAGGTACGTCACACAGTAAACACTGTGTGACGAAAGAATTGCATGGTACATCTTTGGTATATTGTGAATATAGACTCACAATACACTAAATGCAGGGGGTACATTTATTAAATGCAGTTCCACATGATTCGGGTTTCCTTCTAAATGGAAATCTCGAGCATCAAACGTCTTCGTTTCAAACACCTTTTTTTCATCCTTTTTGATACTGTAGCACATGTAGCCGTTGACTTAAGGCTTAACTGTTAGTGCTCCTCTCACGTGTCTTGTTTCTATATGCTTAGGACACTTGTAGAGCATCAGTCTGTGTGATTCTTGTATCTTCGGTACTGTATTTGCCTTCACGCTTGCTAGATTAGATTAGTTTTAGCGGTACAACGTCGTTGAAGATGTGTTTTTTTTTTTTTTTTTACTCACGGTACTTCCTTCCAGCTCGCGCTTTACTGTACATTTCATCACAATTTTGACTCAGAGCTGTAAAACATTTGTGTAAAAGAGAAAAAAAAGCAGTAATATAACTCATGTACAGTATATTTTAGACACACATGCGGTAAGTGTGCATGACTTTCCACAGCTCCATCGCTGTGTTTCTGTATGTTTATCACAATAATTGCTATGCTCTTAGATTCTGTTTTAGGGTGCACAGTATCCAGCTAATGTGAGCCAAATGAAGGATATATTTTCATGTAGCAAGAAAAAAAGAAAAAGAAAAAAGAAGAAGCAGTCCTTTCGGCGTTCAGCGTGGCCTCTGTGGTCTGCGAGATCATCCCGTACAGCACGCATGGACTCCTTCATTTGGCGGTTGTTTTTTTCTTTCTTCACTCGGCACCAGCGGTTGGTAATTGTACTTTTTTTTGCAGTGCAAATACAGTATAATGTGTGGTAGTACTAATGCACAACGCGAGTGGAAGGATGCGTTTCAGATGACAGAGATCGGTTCCCTCCACCTGCGCATCTCAGTTTCCATCGCTGAGGTGAAGATTGTACCGCCGTCGATCTCTTGTCACTTTCAAAGCAGAGTTTGTTCGTTTTCGAGAGAGTCTTTGTTGTGTTGTTGACGAAAAGAGCCGTCACATGATGCCTCTTTTATATTTGATTTACACAGTTGATTTCATCAGAATGAATGACTAAGTAAGCTCTCAAATGTCTTGCGTGTCGTACCCTCAAATTGCCAAAAAGTAAAAAAAGTATTTTTGTAGAAAGCGGAAAACAATGTTGGCAATAGAAGGTTTTGGAAAGAAAGTGCACCGTTTTAAAGGTTGCACATTTTGGATTTGTTTTTTATTTCTATTTTTTTGAGAGGGATATTAATTGTAGTGAGACATTTTACCTCCTCTTCTGGTCCTAAAAGTTGAATACGTACGTTCATCAGAAGACCTAAGCTTCCAACAAACCCATTGGGCGTCGTATCATTTCCGTTTTGGAAACGTTAATTTACATATTTCAGGTAACTACATTTTCTAAACAGACCAATCACACTTGCAAATGAAACCTAACAAGTTTAAACCAAGCCGCCATTTTGATTCCGGTCAGGACGAATCAGCGTTACCGTTCTTTGCACAGTTCCCCAGACGTTCCCAAGAATGAAACTGGAGGTGACGGCGGTGCTTCTGATTGGAGGTCTATGAAGACGTGTGAGGGAGGGAGATTAGAAGTGCCTTTGGTCATTGTGACGAGCTCGTCTTCTCCTCGTCGATGAGGGCGCCACCGCCACCACCTCCTGCTGTGCCCCGTGATTCACACCTTTGACATTTTATCAAAGACTTGGAGGGTAACTGGCGGATGGTTGGCGGTGCCGTACGAGTGCTTGTGTTGGAACAAATCGGAGCATGTTTAAGATTTGAGGTGTGCCTCTTTGTCTCTATGTAGTTGTTGCATATTCTACGGCGGGGGCCGTAAGGAGCTTTGTGCTCCGTCTCACTGCATCAAAGCTTTGGTGTTTTTTTTCTTTCTTTTTGTCTTTTTTTTAATTCTGTCTGGTATGTGCTTTCTGAGAAATCTCCGATAAGATAGAAATGTGAACCGTACGCATCCGTGGCCCCGCCCGGTTATTTGAAGCTCCCTCGATAAGCTCCCGCGTTGATGCATGCAGCGTTTCTCAGTGTTTTATATTCAGTCGGTTGAGTCGTCCGCCGCTGCTGACGCACCAATATGCAGTTTGTTGGACCAACACTTTTGTGACTGCACTTTTCTTTTCTTTTTCTGTTTGTTTGTCCCTCGCGCTCAGCGGTGTGTCTACGGCCCAGCAACCATAAACCCACAGACGGTGGTGAAGCTCAGTTGTCTACAGTGTTTTTAGTTGATACTTTTAAGGTCTTTCCATACGGTATATCAGTTTTCTTTATGATATTGGAGCATACAGTGTACAGTATATGCCTGTGTTTTTACGGTCAACAGCTGTCAAATAATTCTGATGCTTTTTGACTGATTGCAATGTTTTTGTAATGGAGTTACTTTTACTACATGGACTATATCGACTCTAATACTTATGAAACCAACTTTAAGGAGAGCTGCTGGCTCGTTTTGCAATTTGTGTCCACACAGCAAAAAGATGAGTACATGGGATTTTCCCCCAAATGATTAAATAAAAAAAAGTGTTTTCACTTACTACCAGTAACATTTCAACATGTATATTTTGAGTGGTTCACAGGGAGGTCAGTGTATCATCCAGAGTAACCCAAACATTGTTACTGAAAACACTCTTTGCCGTCGAGTTTGAATAGAAGTGAAATGACGCTGCTGGGTGGGCAGTAAATTAAAACATTTGTGTCATTTTGTTTAAAAAAAACAACCATATATAAAAACACTTGTGGGGAAATCGTGCCAGCGGGTTGCAGTTTAAACCTAAAAGAGGTTTGTTTGAAAGACTCGTTGAACCAGATGGTTCTGCTTCCATTGAAGCGATTCGCTCGGCGGATCCTGTTGCTTCGGGAGGAAACCGAAACGTAGAGCCGGATCACTTGTTGAGATTAAATTTTTTTTACAGTGCAGCAAAACACTTTAATCTGCCGCGAATGCCACGTTATAACACACATGTTTAATAGCTGGAAGCAACGCAGCTTTTGTAGCCATGAAACCTGTTGAGGGGTCAGAGGGCGGCGAGGAAGGCTTTAATGAGCTCTGACCTCGAGTTAAGACTTCAAGCCCACTTTCGGTATTCTGAAACTCAAAGCTTTCATCCTGCTCATCTAGTAGATACGGATTTGTGTCGGAGCTTCTCGAAAAAACATTTTTCTATATGACAACTGATCATTCGGGGAATGAGGTATTTTTTTCATCGGCTTTGGTACACTGTAAACACAGCACATCTTTCACTGATTACAAAGAAACACATATTTGGTGTCGATTAAAGTTTGAAGAATGAGAGACCATAGAGGATAAATATTTTGATATATATATATATATATATATACGTAGATATCTATATTTTTGGATGATGTAATTTGGACTGTGCTTGAAACAAATCAGAAAGAGGCTTCGATGTGAACGTGATCTTGAGAGTTGCTGCGTTGCGCTCGAGCAGTTATTGAAACGCAAGCGTTCTTACTAATTGGCTGCAGTGAGCTTCATCGTGATCAGCAACACGCTTTGTGGTCACGGCCGATCCGCATACATGTAATCTATAAAGCATGATTATCAGGTGCGTTCAGAGGAAGAAGAAAGCGCATGTACATGTGTTAATATTTACAGAGCCGAGTCTATATGTTAAACGCAGTCTTGGCTGCTTTGCATTTTATTAAATATTAGTTTGTTTTTGTTTGTTTTTCTTGACCACGAGAATCTGTTTGGTCAGTTGGAAGCTTCTGTTTTTTTTGTGAATAGATGGAGTGTTTAAAAAGTGCACCACAAAAGATACACTTCCAGTAGGATGCTGGCGCAGCGTGGACGCCGACGCTGTGACAAACAACACCGTCCTTTGGTCAGAGACACAGAGTGAAAAGCTACATGGATAGTTTGTTACCCTCCTTTGTACAGGAGGTCAGAGCGTGTTCTTTTATGGTGCCCAAGTATGTTCTTTTTTTATTTTATTTTTATTTGTCTTTTGAAAAAAGCTGATGAAAGTCAGTGTCGGTTAGTTTTTGTTTGTTTGTTCATTTCTGTTATTGATAACCATACAGAGCCTATAAAAAATAAATAAGCTAGGTTGATTTTTTTTTTCCTCCGTACAGAAAAAAAGAAAATACAAATGTTTACAATATGTAAATAACCAAATAGTAAATATGCGTTTGAGAATCAATCTGTCTGTCCCTCAAAGTGACTGTAATAGATTGATTTATATTTCTTTATTTCTTCTGTCATTTTAAACTTGAAAATGTTATGACTGCTTGTTCTGTTTTTTGCTTTTCTTCTGTTTTGGTTTGTTCTTTCTTTTTTTTTTCTTATCAATTTTATCTCCTGAGAACAGTGCTCCCTCGATATGAACATATTAGCCCAAGATTCATTTTTCTCTCGATTTGACTTATTCATCTGTCTTGTTGAACATGCTTGAGGAAAGTTTTATTACATAAACACAGCGGAAGGTTCCGGGATAACTATCTAGAGGCATTGTGTTCTTGATTTGCACTATAAAACCAATTTAAGATGGCTGATTAAAGGAAATTTTAGACCAAATTTGCCCCATGTTAGTTTCATCTTGTGGGATTTCCATTTGAAATATTGGGAAATTAACAACACTGCACTTTCATTTCCTCTTTGTCGGTCTGTATCCAATCTTCTTAAACCTTCCCTTTCTTAGTCTCGACTTTGACCTAAAACGTTGCCTTTTGTTGTAGTGCTTTTCACTGGTGTACAGTAGTTCATTTTTGGGGGGGGTGACATTAAAGATCACTAACAATTCACGAGCCGTATCAGCATCTTTACACTAATCACAACTCCACGCCTTGTCTGCTGTGCTCCACCATGTTGCCCAACAAGTTGACTAATGCATCACTGCCTCAGCAGCAACACATACACCGCTCTTACTGCATAGTTAACAATAACACATTTTATTCCCCCAAAAACAATGAATGCATATAATTGGGGCAGTCGGATGAAGCTACTCTACACCAAAGTGCAATTGAACTCAGAGGGAGCACTGTTGTTTCAGCCAGTAGAAGCCTATCGGTTGATGCACAGAAATACGGTTCTTCTCCTTCACTTCTCATGTGTTGTCCTCCCTCCCGTTGGTCTGCCGTTTAATTAGATGCGACATTTCTTTCTTTCTCTCTCGTGTACAGCTTGCTTCAGAGTTTGTCCTCAGACGGGTACTATTTCATCTGTACGGTACTTAGGCTGATGCAATGATTTAAAAGACAATAAAAGACGTATAAAATGAAGATGGCTGCTGTCTGCTTAAATGTCCTTGGTTCATGATGTTAAGCCAATCATCAGCTCGTCACACACATACATTATATGCTGGATATAAAAATGTCATGTATTATTTTGGCTACCCAAATCTATTTTACAAAACTTTCAATCAATATATAAAGTGAGTTATTTTTAAGTGGGTCTCCATTTGGTTTGTGTCATGCTAAGAATAAATACAAATTTGAAGCCCAACACACAACAATGCACGAGTAAAGGCAGTGAAGTGGAAGACTGTTGTCGAGGCAACAACACGGACAGACAACATGGGATTTGAATTAATGTATTTCTTTACTTTGCAAATGTTTTGTGAGGAAGGAACTGCATTCCAAACATTTTCAAGGGGAACTTTACACAAGGAAATCACATCTACTGAGAAACACCATGAGAAACCTACGCACGGCACCAACAATTGATAAAAATCAGAACTCCCTTTGTTCCTCACATTAAATGTCAACAGTTTAAAAGGAACTTTCCCCCTCAAAAGCAGTTCCCATGAACACTGTTCTGAGGTCTGTGGTGTACAACTCTCAACCGATATATACCTTAGTTTAATTCTGTGAGAACAACAATTGACATATTCATAGAACACTTATTCTATGCCAGTACATTAGTGTGGAGACCTTAACTCAGAAGTATTTAAAATACAATGGTGACCAAATGGATTTAAAGGTCAGATGCCACCAGAAGGAACTGATGAATGATTGTTTTTGAGTTTCTCATACATTACGAAGCAAAGGGTTCACACACTGTAGGCAAATGTGGCATATTACATTACATGTCATTTAGCAGACGCTTTTATCCAAAGCGACTTACATTACACTTTAAACCCATGGCTTTTTTCACATTTTTTTTTGCCCGGGGAGCAATTAGGGGTTAGGTGTCTTGCTCAGGGACACTTCGACATGGAACATGGGGCAGCCTGGAATCAAACCACCAACCTTGTGCTTCCCAGCACACCTTCTCTAACCCCTGCGCCACGACGACCCTACAAGCAAACAAAAGGATAGCATGAAATAGAGACAAAGTGCTGTCCTCGTTTAGTTGTATATATAACACTTCAAGCCAAAACATAGCAAAGCAGACAGGAAGCCGACTGAATCATGGAGTCTTTGTCCAGTCAGCTTATTTGTCTCTTACCCTTTGTTCTGGAGGACAGCTGGAGGACAGATCATGTGCGAGTCACCAGGTAAAAACCTTTCATAATGCTCAAGGGTTGGTGGGGTTTAAGTGCAGAGTGTTCTCGTGACTCTTGAGCAAGACCTATGGACTGAACAACTGAGCTGAGACTAAGAATAAGTCAGATCATGTGTTTGACTCATGCCAAGAATATAACTCCACTAAACAAGAAAAAAAAAGTTTGTCACACAATAATCCCCTAAAAATGTTATTTGCCAGAACATTGATAATATAAAGGAATCTATAAAAGGTGTAACTCAACCAGACTCTTGTCTGGTCTATTTGCAGAATATACTTTATTAAGTTTATTATAGGTATAGTTACATATAACTATATTGCTGACTAAATGTTCTTCAGAATGTGAAGGTTAGCTTTCACAAATCTCATGACACTTTGATTTATATGAGTTTTATGTTTCCCCAAACCAGCAACAGCGTGGTCCGTCTGCAGAAATCTCCTCTGGCAACAAGTGACGCTGCCTCCGTCACATCGTCGTCAGCCAATCAGAAAACCGGACGTCACCACAAGGAAGCGTAGGGGGAGTATTTAAAGTTGCACAGTACGGGGTTGGCTTCTCTGTAGGCTACCGTCGTTTTTCCTTTTACCGTTTCATTTTTCTACTGTCAAACTAAAGCTCCGGGAGAAGATGAAGACGCTCTTGCTGCTGCTGGTTTTGACCGTGTTGTCAAACGTCCCGTCCGGCGGCTGCGCTGCCTCCTCTCCGTGCTCCCATCCTCCGTCGACGTGGTGCTCGTCGCTGGACTCCGCTGTGCAGTGCGGGGTGAGGCGCATCACTGATGCGTGCGATGCTTTTAAATGACCTTTCCGAGGACCGTCGGCCTCTCAACACCGCCGAACGCGCTGACCGAACCGCAGAATGAGCTACTTCCGGGTTAAAGTTGAACGAACGACGGGTTAAATGAAATCACGGGGATCCATAGCAACCGCACTCTGCGGTTCGCCCTGACGTCACGTCGGCTAGTTAACTTTCAGTAGTGAGAAGAAATAAATAATGACTTGCTTTACGTTAACTAATGTTTGCATTCCTCCCCCTGCGTGATTGTGCATGAAACGTCATTGTTTGGCGTCAGCTTAATTTGACGGGAGCCAGTGAACTTTGATTAGAAGATGTTGTGTGCAGACTGGGTGGACGAGTTGGGGATGAGCAACGTTATTTTGGTTGGCTTTGGAACATTTGAGGAAGTAAAAAAAGAGGAAGTCTTCATCTGCCAGCGCATGATGCACACATGCATGCCACAAACTCTAAATCAAATTTTGAGAAAATTGTGAAAAAAATACTAACTTGGAGAGTGATCACACCAAAAGTTAACGGTCTGAACACCCTGGTGCAGGTTCTGAAGCAGTGCCTTGAGTCCAACTTCACCGAATCGCATCACAAGAAAACGGACCAAGTGGAGGTGGCGCTTTACTTTGAGAGTCTGTGTCCCGGCTGCAGAATGGCTTTCACAGAGACCCTCTATCCCACCTGGGTCCTGCTGAGTGACATCATGTCACTCACCCTGGTTCCCTACGGCAATGCACAGGTAAGCGGTGAATACAGCACCTTGGGTGCACACTGGGAGAACTGTCGCTCTTTAAGCTTTTTGAGTGGGTAATCGAGCTTTCCTCAAATCATGTGTAGGATTGTTTTTTTAATGTAAAAAGGCAAGAGAAGTAGTAAAATAACCATATAATGTGGTCACAGGATAATCAGATTCATTATCCAAGACGGGCTTCCTCTTGAATTTAAATGACAGGAGAGGAATAGTCCTGTGACATTGGTCATAATCTTTGTTGTTTGTTTGACTTTTTTACCTGAATTTGTTAACTTTATTGCTCCCAGGAGAAACCTGATGGACAGAGGTTTAATTTTGAGTGCCAGCATGGAGAACCGGAATGTCTGGGCAACATGATTGAGGTAACGTTACGTTCTAAATGATAATAATACTGTAACTACAATTCAGAACCATGTAATCTGCCATAATGCAATAACATAAATACTTCCCCTCCTTCAAAGAATTCATTCTCATACATCTGTATGTTCTAAAAGTGCTAAAATTGCCTGAATAAATGTTCCGTCTAAATGCTTTAATTGCTTTGTTCTAAGCATTAAATGGAGTCACTATTGTCTTGTAGTAGTGTCCCAATGATTAACAGATTGCCTCTTTCCTCTCAGACTTGTCTATTGAACATGACAGACGCTGCTAAGCACATTATCTACTGCATGGAATCCTCCTCTGACGTTATCAAGGCAGCACAGAGTGTAAGCAAGTGTGTTTGTGTGTCTGTGTGCATCTCATCAGTGTTTGGGCTGGTGTCTGTTTGTTTCCCTCCACTGCCAACATAATATTTATTATTTTGAGGCTGCAAATGATATCTTTATTTCTCTCCACTGGTGTTTGCAGTGCGCACAACTCTACAGCCCCGACCTGAGCTGGGACAGCGTCACAAGCTGTGTGAAAGGGGACGTGGGAAACCAGCTGATGCATCAGAACGCCTTGAAGACCAAAGCTCTGCAGCCTCCTCACCAATACGTTCCCTGGGTGACCATAAATGGGGTACGGCTCCAGTACAAGTGGCAGGAAGCTTCTGTGGCATTCCGTGGGGGGGAAAAACTGACTATAGAGATCTAGAAACTATGTAGAGGCTTTAGACATGAATAGGTCACATCGCTTCTGACTTTCCAAGGGAACTTTCTCCTTTCCATCTTGACTTGTATTGAAGCCTTTTTTTCTGCAATACCCACATTCTGCCCCCACCAATGACTCTTTCCTTGTAAACGGGTGACCTTACATTGTCACCCCCCCCCCCCCCCCCTAAAAAAAAATCTCCCCTTGGATTCAAGGATTAAATGATTGGATCCTGATGGAACGTGATATAAGTGACGAGTGTAGCAAATTTTATTGCATCTAGCACAAACTTCCATTTGGACTCAAGGACTGACTTATTAAAACGTATGCTGCTTGTGTAGCTCTGCTGTTTAGAAAGCCAACAGTGTACTTCCAGTTTTTGCCTGGATGCTACTTTATTTAACATGCTACTTTATTTGCAGGAGCACACAGAAGAACTGCAGGACAAGGCCTTAAACTCTCTCTTCACTCTGGTCTGCAGCATGTACAAGGTACAGTTAATGTCAACAAAGCCTGAATCATTCATTGACTCGAGTCGTGACTTTAGTTATGACCGTTTTATTATAAGTTTACTTTGCGCTATAACAGCACATGCAGGTCACGTGTAACAGTCCTTTTATTTAAAAAATAATTTCAGGGCCCCAAGATTCCAGCGTGTGGAGGAGGAGGAGGAAAACACTACAGAAGCTACTCCCACATTGAGTGAAGGAGGAGCACGGCACATGTTTGCTTCTTTCCAGGTCACTAAATAAGGGACCCTGATGAGTGCCATCAGATATTTTTGTATCTCGGATTTTACTGCTGTGTCTTTTAAAGGGAAAACTATTCTGCTCATTTAACAATTCAATAAATAAAAATTCAATTTACTTTCTAAAAAAACAAAAACGTGTCGTCTTTGAACTGTTATCGACTATAAAAAGAACATAAACGCGTATTTGTGCCGTTTGACAGTCAAATATTTGTTTTCATCGCCAGGTTTGCTCAAAGAAACTGCTCCGCCTGCCCGTTAGATGGCGCCATATATCATAACCCCATCTGCAGTTTCCTGTTACCGATGCCAAACTAAAGCTTCCATGCAAAGTAGCCGTATATAAGCAAACCACAGATCATAAAGAAAGCCAACAAACACAAATGAGGGGTTTTCATGAATCGTGTCACTGTTTTACTCTGTGTTGTGTTTTATTTTTGAAGCTGCGTTCATCGTCGTGTCACAACATCCCCTGAGAATCACACTGAAAGTTAAACTTGGACTAAAAGGCAATTTTAGAGAAGACAAATCAACCCAAAGTTGAGCTCGTGTTGTATAGAAGTTACAAGATGCGGCATCTTGATCAGAGTCTCGCCAAACCAGAAGGTCTGGAGGCACATGTTGCGCTGATTGTACATTCAGATAAAGACGTGACGAATGACCCGTCATGCAGGCAGCTACACCGCCTCGACCGCCTCGACCCAGCTGCCAGCTAAAGCATTCACGTCTTCTGGGTGTAATTAAGTCAGTCTAAAAAAGGCCGCAATGGAAGGTTATTGCAAGCTCTTTTTTACTCCTAATGATTCTTAATGGTCTAATGACAAATGAGTGCCGATGAAGAGGCGTGGCAGTAGTTCTTCACTGCCAGCATAAGGGCTGCTGGTGCCAACACCACTTCATATCTGATCTCAACTGGGCTATCTGTATCCTCCTCCTTGGTATGTCCTTCCCTGTTGTCTCGCTCCCACGTTGCAGTTGCTGAAAGTATGAGGAGAAATAACTCATCCAAATTTTTCAACTTCACCGAGGTAAGGGTAATTCATTAACCTTCCATAAGTAGTGAAATAAACATGGTGAATTATAGTGTCCAATTCACTCTGTTGCCTATAGAAACCATAATTGTCTTTTTGGAAATTGAAACATTATCGACCGTTTTCGTGTAAAACCGTGATGCCAAAAACAAGACGGCAGGTTATTCGCGTTGATCTTTGGTTCATTTGGATTATGTAAGAACGCTAACGTGTCTTACTGTTGCTACACAGATGTGGAAAAGATAAATGGAGCCTTGTACGTCAGAAAAAGCCTTCTTATTCTTTTAAAGTTCAGGCCGTTAGCCATAATTTACCAGTATGACCAGTTTTCTTGTGAAGTAATCATTTTAACGGAAAGTTAAAGTCAATTTTTTGTGTCACAAGTTAAGTTTGCATAAAATGAACACTGCTCTATATCGTTGTCAGAATTTGTCAATGATAATAAGACTGAGAGTGTGTGGAAAATGGTTTATGGAAAAGTGGAACTCCCGAGGAAACGAAGAGATAAGGTCACAGGGTGCAGCAAGAAATAGCTCTCCTATCCGCTTCCTCTCAGCGCTGACGCTAAAGGAGAGATGCCCCGAGAGCTGAATCTCAAACACTATCTCACTGTGAGGAACTGTCACTTGTTACCATGGTGATAGCGTGAGGGTCCCGGGACCTGAAATCAGATAGTCACTCCAAAAATAACGGCCCCGACTGGGTTTCTACGTAGCTCGTTACATCTTCGGCGGCGGCACAAAAACAGCCCCTGTCCTTGTCTACCTTCAGGTGTCAGTAAATCTTTTATTTTTTTTGTCTCCCCGAGAGGTTAAACTAAGGGCAAGCTTCACATCTTCTTTACATTTGATTTATTAATGTTCTCCTTCCAGTGCCAAACACACCCTGATAGCTCTTCCAGTTAGTTCAGATGTGCTCATCAGCACAAAATGAAATGAACGTAATGGAGGTTCAACAGTAGTAAATAAAGGTAGTGGCCTGCAGACTAACTGTGGACAAATCTCACATGCCATCACAGCTGCTGCTCATCCGATATGATAACGTAACTAAATGTCCGCCGTCCAGAGAGAGTGGGACTCGTCGGACCAGGCCTCGGGCACCGAGCCTCCCCACGACCCCGGCAGCAGAGGTGCCGTGAACAGGCTGTTCTCCGGCACGCTGCAGCTGCCCCGGCTCTGCTGCAGACCCTCACCTCAGGACGGCCCCCAGACTCGTAGAATCAGGCCCTGCAGGAGCCTGGGAACTCTGCCCAGGTACATCTCCGATGACTAGTGAGTCGCTCTTCTTCTCCTTCTCGGTTAAGAGCCTTTTCAACACTGTCATGGACACTTTGGAGTCAGCTAGATCATTTAACCGGCCCGCGATCGGTTCCCACTTTGAATCCGTGGTGGTATCGGAAACTTCTTTATTACAATCTGTGAGCTTGATGTGAGGAGCTCACACAATTCCTGCATGAAACCAAACCATTTTCCAGCTTAACTACTTGTTTCAACCAAAACATTCAAGCCGTCGCTGCAAAAACATCTGTCGCAATTTGCCTGTCCACACGGTGTGTTTGTACTGTGTGTGTGTGTGTGTGTGTGTGCCTTTGTTTTCCACATGCCTGAGGAACGCAGACAGACAGACCTGTTTTTGTTACGTAGGTCAGAGATGATCATCAGATTTGACTTTACTTTGCATCAAGACCCTGTTGTGTTGGCGACTATTCTCTCTTCTAGTTAAGAAACTTCCATCATTGTGATATTTGGAATAGACGCAGCACGTGCATAGTGGGTTAAATTTGTCTCAAATTTGTCACAGCAGGGAACTTTAAATATTTGGAAAGATAAATTCTCTGAAGTCGTCTGAAAATATAATACTTGACTTGGATGATTACCCACAAAATTCTGAATTTTAAGATACAATCCTTTTATTTGATTGTATTATATATTTAAACCAATTAAATTATTGGGAATAATCAAATGAAATTGTGTATTACTAACTAACTAACATTGCATCACAGATTACTACTATTACTTTAAAAATAAATTAGAGGACACAATGCTATGATTTTCCCTTTGCAGCTTTTAATTGAAGCTCATTCGGTGAGTAAAAGCTGGCATGTCGATTCCTCACCTTTAATGTGCTACGGTTAAAACTCTACTCGTGTTTATGAATCAGCAGGTATTAAACAATAACACGAGTTGTCAATGTTGATAAACTAAAAACCTTTTTATTGTGTTCCTTCTCCGTGAAGGGGCCGTGTTTACAAGTCACAAGTGCAATTTTGATGCAGCGCCAGATGAATTGTTTATGGAGCAGCAATTCAAGCCGCAGGTTGTTCAAACAATGACAATGCCACACATGTTGGTGAAATCCAGTAAATGATGAACTATAATATATATATTATGATGTTAGTCATACTCGTATCATAGATGACATTACCTGGGGCTTGGACACTGCCTGATAATATGAAACCACTCATTTGAGTTTTGTTTCCCTGTTCGGTTATTTTAAAATGCCAAGAGAAACTTTGGATTTTGGACTCTGTTTACGATGGACAGAGTTTTCCCAATTGTGAGTTATAGCATGAAGGGCTGTAATTCGTGGTCAGTCACAGAATATGTCTCATATAGGCGTGTCAATAGAAATGCAATGTGACTCGTGTGTAGTGCAACGTGGAGCATATTAGAACATTATGACTCCAGGATCCGTTTTTTAGGATTATCCTAAAATCTGTGTCATACGGGACAAAATGCAGTGAAATAATGGTCATTCTCAGGTACTGAACCTGGTGTCTGCAGAGGGAAATATAATATATTATTATTAAATAATATTAAATAAATAATGAAATTATTGGGAAGGACGGGCCAGAATTCACCTCCATGGTGTTGGGTGAAAAAAAAAACTAATTTCACCAGAAAATAATGATAAGTTTACACCTGCTGGGCTTTCCTCAGTACAGTCCTGCTGCTCCATAATGCACACGTTACAGTAGCGATGGGTGTGCGCCCACAAAGCCTTCAAGCAAAGAATCTTCCTCCCCTGCTTTCCCCACCAGCTGTTGGTCAGCCGTGTGTCAGATGTTCCAGCACCCGAGTTTCTTTCAGTTTCTCCCCACCGGTGTTCAGCTGCGCCCTGAATCGCTGGAGGACCTTTCCTCACTCTGCAGCGATAAACAAAGAGACTGAGTGCAGAGAGCAGAGAGTGTGTGTGTGTGTGTGTGTGATGATGTTGCCTCTGGTAACAGATAGAGAGCGCCATCGTGACAACACCCAAGCCCTCCATTTCTTTTATCTACCTCCGCTTTTGATAGTCAGAGGCCCTTCATGTGACTCTTCCTGGTGCGCTCGCAGCATGAGGGAGGAGAGGAGGCTCCCTCTGAGGACCGACGCCACTTCCCAGCTAATAGCGGGAGCCGAAGGAGAAGTGTGCAAAGTCCGTTTGGAGGGAAAGGCGGGCTGAAGCCTCGGGCTAAATGTTTATACACCGGAGGAAGTAATTATGGAGCACAGTTTGAAGTTGATGAACATTTCTCTCTGTAAGATTAGCAGTGAGGGAAGAGGGGGAGGCTGAGAGTCGGTAGGAGGGAGCGAGGAGCAGGCGGCGGTGATCTGTCTTGCTTCTCCTCCCTGTAAATCAGGAGTCCATATTTAGTCGGAGGGAGGGAGGGCCTAGCGCTAATGTAAATAAAGCTGGGAGAGAGCCGCGGGGAGAGAACATCAACTCTAATGTTTGAGTTTATTGTCCGGCGCCGCAGTCAGCGTGGTCCCTTGGAAAAGACAAGGAAAGGGGCTTAAAGGTTTTAAATAAAGATTAAAAGCCTGATGGAGCGATTGTTGTGTTGACCTTTTGAACTTTTGGGATTTTGAAAGGAGCATTCTTGAGCGTTTTGACAGAGGTTCGTGGAGTGTCGCCCGGCAGGCGGAACCCTTACAAATGCCATGCAGCGAAAAAGTCCAGTTTGAAGGTTTATTTGAGAAAGCAGAAAGAAGGATATCGTAGACTCCTCCTTGGACCAAAGTCATCGAAGACAGAAGCGAGCGAGGGCCGCCGACCGTCCTCTGGTCGCCATGAGCGAGCGACGCCACGATAGCTCCGACGAGGAGCAGGCGGAAGCTGAGGAGAAGCCTCGGGAGCGAAGGGGGACCAGGCTGCCTATTATTCAGCTCCTGCCCAGGTCCAAGGGGGGCTCCCCGGGAGGGTCGCCAAAAATCTCACCCAAAGACTCTCCGCGCGGGTCTCCTCGAAACTCCCCGCTGCTGTTCAGGAAGCTGCTGATGAACCGCAGCATCAACCTCCAGAGGCGCCGCTTCACTCTGGCCCACACGCCCAGGTAGAGTCCCTGACCTTTGAGGCCCAGATGGCAATATGACGACATGTTGGTAGACTTGTTCTTTTACGCTGTGACCCGAAGCGTCATAAACAAATATTTTTAAAACAACGTTTCTTTCTATTTTGGTTCAGCGTTGCTTTCCAATAACGTCTGGTTAATGTTCCCTGGCGATCTTGTTGCAGACGTCAGAGACGGTTCTAGTCACATGGCTGAGGGTTACTCCACTCAGCTTCACGCCACCAAACGGTTCCCCCTAAACTTCTGTCCTCAAATGGATCCTGACTACAAGATGCAATTATCAAAACGTGTGTATTTGTAACGTTGCTGTTTCATTCTCTGTGATCAGTCCTGATGAGGTGGCCGAAGTCACTGTTGATACTTTGCTCTGTATGCTTGGTTTATTTGGGGCTGCAAATCCCATTCCCAAGGTCCCCCCCCCCCCCCCCCTTAGTGGATTTAGTTGACAAGCAAAGGTCAGCGGAAAGAGTTGGATTTTAGAAGCTCCGTTTTAGTGCTTCATTTCCTACAGGTGAATGAGTTTTCCCAGAGCTTCCGTCAGAGACAGCAGCTTTTACAAGGCAGCTCAATTGTCCTGCAGCTTGTAACGGGATATTTCCTGCTCGGCTAAAACATTAATCTGGACTTCAATTGAGATCTGCCGTGTTGGCCGTTGCTGTTGATGGTAAAGAGTACAGCTCTGCTCTAGTTTTAGATTTCTGAGACATTGTTGGGTCATGTTTGGCCCTTGGTCGGAATGCAAATTAAACATTTACCTGGATAACAATTTGAAAGGAAAATTCGAATGATCAATTAAACCATACTTGACCTTAGAGAGAAAGAACACACAGGGCTTGACTGAGTAGATTAATATGAGGCGAGTGTTTGTTTGATGTTTCAAGGGCACGATGTATTTCCTCGTGGGTGAGTTAAATATATATCACACTTAGTGCCAGCTGTGCAACATTGTGTATTATCGTAAAACCGTTTTTTATGCATATGTCTCTTCCGTCTCTTCTCGTGAATTCATACATGGTCACATGTAGGCACGTAACAATCAATAATGGCAACAAACGCACATTAAACATTCCAAGAACATCCACAAAAATTCTAATTCACCTTCAGAAACATGTAGACAGAAGGGTCCACCTTCCCTTTTTCACGTTTGATGGTCTCGAATTAGAGATTCACACACACATTACTTTTCCAGAGTTTACTGTAACTCTCAGAAACAGTTTCAGTAATGTGAGTGTGTCTGTTCAAAATGTAAACATTGAAGGCCGAGGGTACCGTGGAGGGGATTGCAAGGCTCAGTGCTTGCGGACATTCGACGTGTCTGAGCTTTTATGTTGTACAGCTCCGGAGGGGGTGCAGCGTGTCCCACAATGTCACTGCTGGAATAAATGGATGCAGAAGAGTTATGGCAGGAGGGCTGGCAAGGAGGAGAAATTAAACAAACTAGGGGTCCAGCGGAAAATGAATGTCACATGCAGCTCAAATATAGAACATATTTCTTTTCACTTACTGTCTTAAGATGACTAAGCCTCTTTTTCCATTGCAGTTGGAGGGATTTAATGCATTTAGTGGACACCTGAATACAAATACAGATGAAAAATGTACAACAAGAAGTATATGACATTGATGATACTGTGTGTTTATGAAGTGACTCAATGGGTTTAAGGCTCTTGTTTGCTAGAGACCATCATGATTGACAGTAGCAGAATAGGAAAAGGCATTACTTATCTTAAATGTTTATCTTATTAGACTATCAAATGTTGTATCCGATACACGGTACATATCTATAATGCCAGTATTGAGTGAGATCTTGAGTGAGACCAAATTGTTTAAGCACTCAACCATTTGTCCATTGGCACAAATATTTGCAAGGACAATCTGCTTTGGTTTATTCAAAGAGCAACGCGTCGCCGCTGCTCGCCCTGCGTTCAGAGGGAGACACGGGTGACCGAGCCGCGCTGCTGCTTTCCCTTTGTTGAAGACAACCGGCCTGCACCTCGCTCAGCGTCTTTCACGCCAGCGCATGAGCGGCACAACGGTGTGGCAAAAGAAGGAATGTAGAAACCAATGTCGGACTTGGAGGATCAGGATCAGGTCGCAGCTTGTTGTCTTCCGGTCGGGAAAGAACAAAACTATTCATTTAAAACAATACGTTTTGTAACAATAATGAGATCAGAATCTCATAAATCCGGATCCCGTAATCACAAGATCGTTTGTCAAGGTATTTCCTAAAAATTATGAAGTATTTTATGTCATTATGAGACTGAAATTACAATATCATTCGTATAAATGTTATAAATGAATTCCGTACATTTTAGGGCAGCTTACCTCAGATGAGGCCTCCCTCATCCACCCGCTCCTCGTTCTGGTGTCGGTGGGTGGTGTTTTCCTGCTCTTTTCCACTAGAGGCTGCTCTGTTGTTAAATGTGGGCATGAAGCATCAGAGGGAAATGCTTCTGTTTCTGTGGAGGAGGGGGGAGATTTTCTTCTTTGCCTGGTGTGTAAGTGGGCACGGACGCTAATATTTCACAAGGTTGAAAAATATCCTGATGCATCAGTATTTCAACAATGTTTGCAGCATTTTCTCTTATGATGCTGGGTGGAAAATTGTGTAGAAAAGGTGCAAACTTTGCATGGTAAAAAAAAGAATTAATTTTTTACAGAAAATGCTTTACAGCTTTAAAAAGATCCAAATACTTCAGATATCCACGTCTCTCTGTACATAAAACACATGCAAGACGAGGCCCTAAAAGCACGTCTTCTTCCTCCCTCACATGATGAGGAATGAAGTACGTTTACCAGTAAAGGGGACATTGTGCCAATCAGATGGATTATGTGGCAGCAGCAGAGGAGAACTCAATATTAAACAAGGCAAACTGAATCACACGCACGATATTGAAGTATTGATTGACCATAGCACTATTGTTGCTGCCGGCGTGGAGGCCGGCCGGTTACACAAAAAGAGAAACCGCATCCACTCTCATTGAAAATAAACTTGTTTTTTAATACTAAACCTTTTTTTTTTCTTTTTCTTTAACCTCACCTGTAATCTTTCAACTCCGACCTCAGAACTATTCATACCGGTCCACTTTCTCATGGAACGACATTCATTCCCTCTTTGCTCTCGCTCTGACTGTCTCTCAACCACACAGGATCCCTCCCCTTCACAACCCCTCTCTCTCTCTCTCTCCCTCCCTCTCTCTCTCTCTCTCTCTCCCTCCCTCTCTCTCTCTCTCTCTCTCTCTCTCCTCTCTCTCTCTCTCTCTCTCTCTCTCTCTCTCTCTCCTCTCTCTCTCTCTCTCTCTCTCTCGGGGGAGATAGGGTTGTTGTTTGTTGTTTTAAGCCCGAGTTTGGTCCCACCACTCTCAGGAGAGAAGAGAAGCGAAAGCAGAGGTCTGTTATGGGCCACTGACGGGGGACTGCATGGGACGGCCCACTCCGGGGACCATCTGATGGGACTACAACGCTCTTTCCACCTCTCAGTTTTTTGGCCCCCTAAGAATAATCTCTGCTCAGTCTGTTTGTGGTGCGGCGTCCCGGAGGCGAGCTTATGCTCACATGGACAGCTTCGTTTCGAGTTTGCTGGACCCCCTTTTTAAAAAAAAACCCCAACATACCCGGGGGGGCCGTTGCTGAGGAATTTGGTTTGCAGCTTTGGAAGGATTGAAGTTTTGTGTTACCCGTTTAGGAGTACGCGGGGAAAGAAACACTTAGGAGAAGTGTTTATCTTGGCTAGTCTGTGGTGAGCTGTGGTGAGGAAATAGTCCCAGATGAGCACTGACAGCTGACCCCATCCTCAATTTCACTTGATTTGTTTTGGCCCCATGTTACCACTGTCAGTGAGATGATACGCAAACTGGTTCTGACAGCCAAGAAACTCAGCTTTTCTGGGCTGTTCACTTAACAGCACACGTTGGGCTGAGCCTTTTTTTAATCCTCCTTGCCCACAGAAACAAAGCCACCAAAAAGGACCAAAGCTGAGCTGAAAATTGATTTTTCAGTTTGATCCACTGAGCTGGAAGTTAATCGCTAATAACGTTTGTCTTACAGCGCAATATAAAACAGGTTTGACTCTTACTTTTAGTCTCTGCTACTACCGGGTGCAGCTGATGAGGCTCTTTTGCATTTTGGTGTTATTTTACATCTGTAATTCTCGGACCTGTTTTTCCTGCATCGCGGAGTCCGAGGGACCTGTTTTCCTGAACGTGTGACAACAGCCAACAGACGACATAAAAGCAGTTCGGACAGCTCTCCTTCCCAACTCACGACAGCATGGGGGTGTCGGTCGCTCCACAAAAGTCCACTTTGTGTCTCCTCAGCTTCCCAAAGCTGCTTTTTTGATGCCACTTTGAACTCGACTCGTCTCTTTTTTGGACCGCTGATACAATGATGAACAAAGACTCTCGCTTTTCAAGGAAAATGCACGGCAACTACTCCACACGCAGGCACTCGTGCATTGGGTATGTATGCGGTTGTGTGCTGGGCAACGTGACCTTCAGAAACATAATCGATTGATGGGCGATTGTCTCCTCTGTCATAGCAGCCTTGCACTGTGTTGGTGTCTGTCGTGTGGTTTTGATGCGTTTCATTCAGCGGCATTTGGATTGCGCCGTACATAAAAAGAAGTTGTTTGAGATGGAAACATTTTAAAATGAATCTCTCAGCGGCTCTCTGCCACACAGAAGCAGTGGTTCGTTTTTAGTTTTAAGGCTGCACCTCCACCCTGTTTGCTGCTATAAAATCACAGCATCCGCCCAATGATCCACCGTGTGCTGCGGGTGAAGCTGCGGGTGAAGCTGCGGGTGAAGCTGCGGGTGAAGCTGCAGGTGAAGCTGCGGGTGAAGCTGCTGGGTGCTGCTGCTGGTGCGCCGTAGTTTGCTGCGCAGGCCTCGGGATGGAAGCCATGCTGGATCGATGGCTCTGTCCACTGATGGCCCTCCTTGCGCTTCATGGACACCAGCCAAGCCGAGGCGTTCATGTCAGGCACGGTATGACTATCATGTGGTCCAGAGCTTTTGAGTTGCATAAGAGCACTGCCTAAATATCGGAGCGCTGTGGAAAATTGTCGATGAGGCAGCACATTTTGTTTCTTCCAGGAAGCCGAACAGAGAGGAAAGACAAAGGCATTTTCAAATGAACCGACCTCGGGGTTGAATCCCAGTTATATGGTCTTTTGTCGACACACTGATTGATAACTTGATAAAACTGTGTAAGCACTGGGCCAAATTTATACTGCAGCTGTTGTCAGAGCCCTGCAGGAGTGTAATTATGCAAGTTTACAGAGATGAAAACAGAGACTTGATGCATGAATACAAGAACACACTCAAGCACACATAGCAAAGGAACATGCACACACAGGGATCCTTTGCATTGTGGAAGGTAACTCGCTATCAGAGAAAGATGTAAACGCTGCACAGATTCATACGGAATTACTTGAAAAAGGAAAACATTTCAGAGCTGCTGGAGCGTTACTTTCACTGCAATACGTGGTACTTTTCTGAACTCTGGGCATAAAGCATGTGCTCCACAAGCGTCCTCTGAAGTCCTCAAGCCGTGAGCCTGTTTGGATCATGTGAGGAGATCAAAGCAGGAGATTTCAGTGCAGACAGGAACAGAACAAGCCTCTATCCTCTTTACCTGATTTGTATATCCAGCTTCTCTGCTGGAAAAACCAACACACCAAAAACATAATAATCCTGAAGTTAATTTGAAGCAACGATGTGCCGATAGCATTAAATTAATCAAAATCTGTATTGATCATTTTGTGTGCGGTTTTGCAACTGAGACACAGCAGTCTTTTGTAATCAAGATGCGTCCATCACAATGGAGACAGCTTCATCCTAAGTTGTACTAACAGTACCAGGGCACCATTCATGCTCTGACCACACACACACACACACACACACACACACACACCAACTCCTAGTATCATTCTGAACAATGCTTTTCATGGCTTCGCAGTGTCGCTGCATTTAGCTGGAATTACATCTCGTATCAGTATAATGAGAAGACAGTTGCTGCTGCTTCCACTCAACTTGTAAAAGTTTGAGAACGCGCAATTTATCTCAAGTAGGAATGACGCGCAATGAGGTGAGGGCAAGTGTGACGGATGCAACGGCCGACCAAGTGTGGAAAAAAGATAACTTGGACAAAGAGGGTGAAGGCACAGGCGGGAGGGTGGATAAGAAGTGACAGAGGGGATGTGGCTTGAGATAGCGCTCCTCTCGGCACAGAGATAATGAGGGGGGAGGAGGGGGTCCGACGCACGGACAGGGGGCTCAGAGTGAGTATAAAACACACTTCTGAGAGGCAGAGAGGCCGGTAAGAAAGTTGTGACGGAAAGAACAATGAGGAAAACCGAAAAGAGGCGTCAGGCCAGGCCATTTAACCAAAGGGTATAGTGTCAATGTCAGAGGTCCCAATATAGCTGCCAGCCCCCCTCCTCAAACACACACCCGGATCGGTCAATAGAGCCTGTGTGGCTGCAGCGGGCCGGCTGCTGTGTGCGTCACTGCTGTACTCCACGTTTTCAGCATGACTGATTTCCCCAATCGCCCCCAGAGCCTCATCGATTCCTGAGGCTGGCAGCAGCACCACCAATGCTCATCTTTAGCGCGAGTAACTCTCCTGCAGCTCTGTGAGGGAGAGAAAACACAGTAAAAACAGTCATATTGATTCATTCCATTATTAGACATCATTTGGTTAAAAAATGGTCAATAGTCTGCAGTAAAATGTGTTGTGCGCCTAAACAAATAAGCAAAATGCAAATGATCCAAAATGCACATGAGAAGGAGAAACTCATCATATTCAGACGTTTATGCTGAGTGTTGATTATTTTAATGCAGCATTCTGCGGATCACTGTTCGTTGCAACCACTAGAGGGGGAAACCGACTAGGTTATGACTGTTTGAGTCTGTACAACGGATTTAACTGTTGTAGTGCTGTGGAGATTTACCTTAATTAAAGGTTTGTCCTCGAAGCAAATTCATTCAAGATGTTAACTTGTACTTTCATGTGGGGAGGAATTACTCTTATTTTTTCTTTAAATGCTTCAGATTGACTTTGACATTTCTTTGTTTAGAAATTAGTATTAGTATTTACTTTCGTTGTACCAATAGAGATGACACACGTCGCACATGTATTCGTTCTGCTTTGAGGATGTGTGGTGAGTGTGTTGTCTGTGGATCTGAGCTATGTAAATACAATTGATTTGACTTGACAGCCAGCTGCTTGACTGGTTTTCATCCTTTAACCATAGTTGTTTGTACATGTACAACAGATGAACGTCATAACAACCAAACGTCACATCCAAGTTTATAAAGACATTGATGTTATGAAAAGCATAACGAACCCGTTTGAATTTGTATTTAAATGACTTCAGCTAGTCTTACTTACACACACGTCTGTTATTACACACACATTAGCCTACTCATGCAGTAAACATTGCATTCACATCTGGAGTAAGTTGTGAAGTAGCTTTGGACCTAAAAACCTGCCACCTGCCATTTAACGTGTCCCTACTAGTGTCCGTCAATGCCAACGCACCCGCGTCCACTGCCGTGTCCCCTCCTTTGTCGTTGTGCGCTTGTTTACTCGTGTGCACGCAAGTCTGTCATCTACCCAATCCCCAAATGAGTCGAGCTCCAGACCGCTCCGTCATGCTAGCAGATGGCAGCATAATGAATCATGAGGCGACACACCGATAGCCTTTACTACAGTACATGCTGCAACACGACATTTGACATCAAGAGACGCAGTTAAATATAGTCTGCGTGCTGAAACCTGGCGCTGGTGCTTCGTTACGTACGCAGTGTGTTAGATGGTATTTGTACCGTGAAGGAAGTTGTTGTCTCCGTGGTAATCGATCATAATGACCAGGAGTGTGACTCTTTTTCTAGGGATCCTTTTATTGATGTAGAAAATGTCTTTTTGCGATGAGCAGCCTGGTGTGTGTCTGCAGCTGCTGTTTTAACCTCTTGACCTCTGCTGTGTCAAGCACCGGGTGCCTCTACGAGGCCGAGCGTGGTCGAAACAAACGTTATTATTGTTATTTTAAATTCCAATGGAGATCCACATTTTTCCAGAGATAGCATAAATGTTTTAATGAAGGAAAACTGTATCTATGAAATGGCACCATTTTAGAATATTTTCTCTCCTGTCATGATGCAGCAACATTAAATATATTTGTCTAAGATTGATTTATTCAGGCTTTGCT